CCCTGTGCTTGATTTTGGGGTTGTTCGGTATGCCCATAGCACTTCGGGAAATATTTCTCCACTTTCCTTTAGCGATTTCCAACTTCTTCTTTAAGTTTTGGATGATGGTTTTGTTTGTAGATTCGGCTTGGCTGTTTGCACACGGGTGATAGGGTGTTGACAGGATCCTTTTAATCTTGTGATCCTCGAGGAACTGAGTCACTTTGCTTCCGATGAATTGCTTCCCGTTGTCACACGTTATCTCGGAAGGATTCCGAATCGGCATATGATGTGGTCCCAGATGAAATTGATGACTTCCTTTCCCCTTATCTTTTCGAAGGCCTGTGCTTCAACCCATTTCGAGAAGTAGTCAGTCATAAATAAAATAAATCTAGCTTTACCTGGCGCCGTTGGTAGAGGTCCGATGATGTCCATCCCCCATTTCATGAACGGCCATGGTGACAAAACTGAGTGTAGATGTTCACCAGGTTGGTGGATCATTGGGGCGAATCTTTGGCATTTGTCATTTTTGCGGACGAACTCTTTGGCGTCCTTTTCCATGCTGTCCCAGTAGTAGCCTGCCCTGATTATTTTTCGAGTTAAGGAGTCGGCACCGGAATGATTTCCGCAGGTGCCATCGTGGATCTCTCAGAGCACATAATCAGTATCTCCCGGCCCCAGGCATATTGCTAGAGGGCCATCAAAGGTTCTTCTGTAAAGAGTTCCGCTTTCATCGAGCGAGAATCGGGCTGCTTTGGTACGCAGGGCCTCAATTCCTCGGATACGTGGGTAGTTTCCCATCTTTCAGATAGTCAATATGTTTGTTTCTCTAGTCCCATGTTAGGCTAGTGGAATTAATCTCGGCATGACCTTCCTCGACCACTGATTTGGATAGCTGAACAACAGCCCCGGGGAGTAGGTCGTCCTCTTCAACAGATGATCCCAGGTTAGCGAGGGCATCGGCTTCGCTGTTCTGCTCTCGAGGTATATGGACCAGGGTCTGCGTAATGTGACTTGGATTTTGTCCAAGTATCTTTGCATCCTATCTTCCCGGACCTTGAAGCTCCCATTTACCTGATTTACTACCAGGAGTGAATCGCATTTTGCTTCGACGATCTCAGCTCCCAGGCTTTTGGCCAATTCCAGACCTGCAATCATAGCCTCATACTTGGCTTCGTTGTTAGTCAATCTCGCAGTTTTTATAGATTGCCTGATCATGCTGCCTGTAGGTGACTTCAAGACTATACCGAGTCCGGATCCTCTCATGTTCGAGGCACCGTCAATGAACATGGTCCACACCCCGGAAGATGTGCCCACTTTTAGTAAAAGTTCCTTTTCTACCTCGGGTACGAGGGAGGGCGAGAAGTCGGCCACGAAGTCAGCCAGAATTTGGGACTTGATAGCCGTTCGGGGCTGATACTCGATATCATACCCCCCGAGTTCAATGGTCCATTTGGCCAATCGGCCCGATAATTCGGGCTTGTGCAATATGCTTCGGAGAGGGTATGTTGTTAAAACGCAAATACGGCGACACTGAAAATAAGGTTTCAATTTTTTGCGATGCGTTTATTAGCGCAAGAGCTAATTTTTCTAGGTGCGGATACCTGGTTTCGGCATCTCCCAGGGTCCGACTTACATAATAGATAGGGAATTGCGTACCTTGCTCTTCTCGAACCAGCACACCGCTATCTCGGATATGGCCAGGTATAGATACAACGTTTCATCCTATTTTGGTGTGTGGAGCAAAGGCGGACTGGTCAGATATTGCTTCAATTCCTCCATGGCGTGTTGGCATTCTGGAGTCCATTCGAAGTTGCTTTTCTTTTTGAGTAAAGAGAAGAAATGATGACTCCTATCTGATGACCCCGATGTGAACCTGCCTATAGCCGTTATCCGCCCTGTCAGTCGTTATACTGCTTTTACATTATTTATCACCGTGATTTCTTCGATGGCCTTGATTTTATCGGGGTTGATCTCAATTCCCCTATTTGACACCATGAAGCATAAGAATTTGCCCGAACCCACTCCGAAAGCACATTTTTCGGGGTTAAGCTTCATGTTGTAACTTCTGAGGATGTCGAATTTTTCCTGCAAATGAGGCAAATGGTCCTCTACGCGCAGGGACTTAACTAGCATGTCATCAATATAAACTTCCATGGATTTGCCTATTTGATGCTCGAACATTTTATTAACTAGACGTTGATATGTAGCCCCTGCGTTTTCAGCCCGAAGGGCATTACATTGTAACAATAGGTACCATACTTCGTGATGAACGAAGTCTTTACCCTATCGTCGGGGTTCATCTGAATTTGATTATACCCCGAGTAAGCGCCGAGAAAAGTGAGGGTCTCGTGACCGGCCGTGGCGTCGATCAGACGATCGATGTTGGGCAATGGGAATGAATCCTTGGGGCACGCCTTATTTAAGTCTATATAATCTACGCACATTCTTAACTTATTTCCCCTTTTGGGTACTACCACTACATTGGCCAGCCATTCTGGGTATTTTACCTCTCTAATGGACCCTATTTTAAGGAGTTTCGTTACCTCGTCCTTGATGAATGCGTGTTTTACTTCGAACTGGGGCCTCCTTTTTTGCTTCACTGGTTTTAACCTGGGGTCGACACTCAGTCGATAGGTGGTTATCTCCGGCGGGATTCCTGTCATATCTAGGTGGGACCAAGCGAAATAGTCGATGTTATTAATAAGGAATTGAATGAGTTTTTTCCTGAGTTCGGGGGTTAACCCCGTTCCCTGGTATACCTTCCGTTCTGGGAGATGTTAGATCAAAACAGTTTGCTCCAGCTCTTCAATTGTCGATTTCGTTGCATCCGACTCTTCGGGGGCGACGAAAGTTCGAGGAGCGAGGAAATCTTCTTCATCAGCCTCGGGGGTATGTACACTTCCAGACTCATCCGAGGTAGACTGTGCTGGATTCGACGCCTCCCAGTGAACCACGAACATTTCTTTTGTTGTATGTTGTTCTCCATATACGGTTGTTATACCGTCCTTTGTTGAAAACTTCATCATCTGGTGTAGAGTTGACTGTACTTCCCTCATGCTGTGTATCCATGGCCTGTCGAACAATGCTTTGTACCTCATGCCACCGCCGATGATGTGGAACTTGGTGTTCTGAACTGTACCGGACATGTCGACCAGGAGGGCGATCTCCCCTTTCGTTACCTCGCCGGCCATGTTGAAGCCGTGGAGGACCCAGGAGGCGGGTACGATCTGGTCGAGCAACCCAAGCTGTTCTACTACCCCTGACCTGATTATGTTGGCCAAGCTACCTGGATCCACGAGCACACGTTTAATTCGAATGTTACTTAGGAGAAATGAAATTACCAGTGCGTCGTTGTGCGGTTGTGTCAAGGTCTCGAAATCTTCCTTGCTGAATGCAAGGGTGTTTTCGGTCATGTGATATCGGATCGGCTCTTCTATTGCAGCGGATATTTTTATCCGTTTGATCACGGGTCCTTGGGGGATGTCGGTCCCTCCAATGATCATATGGACAACATGCTGAGGAATCTCTCTTTTCGCCCAGGTCGGATTTCTCCGAGTTTCCTGCTGAATCTCTCGGCACTCTTGTTAATGTGAGAGCTTATATCGGTGTGTTGGGCATCGTGTGAGACCGCGTCCACGGGAATTGGTTCTGGTGCATTCTCAGGGTTTTGTGGTGGCACACCAACACCTGGGACGTCAACACCATTTTCTCCATGGTCTTCAAGATTGATGTTTTTGCATGCGTTTACTGAGTTAGACATTTTGACCTGAAATCAAAGATCTTGGACAAGAAAAAGTGTGAAAGATAACTCGCCTTACGTAGCTAAACCAGCAAGAAAATAATCACTATTATTTTTAGCCCCACGGTGGGCGCCAAACTGTTTACCTTGAAATGGTAATTACAATTAGATTTGATTTTGTTGTTCTAAAAATACGTGATCTATTTTTATGATAGTTTTTTAGGCAATAGATGTTAAGTAAGAGATTAGAGAACGAGATAAGAGCTTGAAAACAAGGTGATAACCAAACCAATAGGCTGATAAGCAGGGCCTCGAGCTCGCTTATTCGGGGCCTCGAGGTCGAGTCCTATACCCTGCCGTGGGCACTCGACGGAGGGACTAACAGTTATGATAGATTCAATGATGGTTCTTTATGGCCAATAATAAGTAATAAATGAAGAACAATGAATAGAACACAATGAATGTAAGCAATAAATGGAAGTAATGAGATCAAGAGAATATGTTAGAGAGCAGAGAGAATGTTCTTGTATATTTAGTATCGAGCAACAGATAGCCTACAGATGACAAGGACCCCTTTTTATATGAGGGAGAACCCAAACATAGTACAAAAGCATTTATTACAAAGTAAGATAGCTGGCACAGCTACCTAGTAATCTAGCGCAGACTGGTACTATTCTTGCAGGTAATGTCAGTTCGGACCGAATGCCTAGGGAACTTCCCGCTTACCTTCGATAACCACAGACTCATGGTGCGTCGAGGTCGAGCGTGAAGGGCCTTAGAGGTCGAAGCCTCGAGCTGCGTCCCCGGATCTTCGGGGCCTTTTCGAGGCTAAGGGAAAGACGCAATGATCGCGAAATCGGGCCTCCTGATCTCGCCCGTATACAAGACTAAATTAGATATAGTTACAATTATAAATACCATAAATCTGAAAAAAAGTCAGACCCTTTATATGTTTTAAAGTTCTTTTTATAAAAGTTTTAATTACATAGGAGATGAAAAGAGGAGGACAACAGATATTAGAATTGAACCGTCACTTATTATGTGGTGGGCTTCTCACTAATATTACTCTTGGTTCCATCCTTTTTTTTTGGTGCAAAAGATAATATTCATATATATTAACTACTGTATACAGAGAGTGGCCCATTACATGTGGCTGTCTTGCCATACTTAGTTAAACTATTTCTAAACAAAACTACATTAGTACTACTACTACCATTAACATACAGCATAGTATTGCCATGGGTACTACTACTAGACTCATCCATTGTTTGGCTTATATTTACATCCAAAAGGTGCTTCCAGCTTCCGGAGCTTGATTGACAAAAGGAGGTGCCACATTATAAAAATAGGGATCAGTCATATGAACAAAAAGTTTGGCTGCCTTTGCTAGTTGATCCGCGACCATATTCTGTTCTCTGTATGCATGTCGGACTGGCGGATTAATAAGTTGGTTGAGGAGGTACCTGCAGTCATTTATCATATTGGAATGTGGAAAATTGTCAGTTTGTAATAAAGTAATAATCTGCTTAGCATCTAACTCAACTTCTATAGGCATCAAATGATGTTGTAAGGCTAAGGTAAGGCCTTTGAGCAAAGCATATAATTCAGTTGATATTGTAGATCCCTTTTGTATGGCTTGCGCGAATTCCAGTATCCATTCCCCCCTTGAATTACGGATTGCTCCTCCAATTCCATTTGTATTGATGCCATTAGCACCATCCATATTTAACTTGTAGAAGTTTTGCGCAGGTGGATGCCATCCAAGATTAGAGGAACGTTTTTTCCTAGGTTTATGAAAATGAGCAGTGAGATATGCAAACTCAGTAGCTTGAAAGGTTGTTGTAGAAACATTAACCTTTTCCTTTAAAGAGTTAAAGTTGTTCTTGTTGCGAGTTATCCAAATATTCCACAAGCTTACAGGAAGAAAAGTGTTTGAGCTTAAGTTATGCGGGAGATGAACATTTTTAGAGTTAATTAAAGTATATAACCAATTCTTAGTCCCTTGTATGGTATGTATATATCTTATTAGATTGTAAGACCTAATTCTTCCCAAAAGTCAGTAGCATTTTTGCATTCAAGGAAAATGTGACGAATATTTTCTTCAGTATCTTGGCAGTATGTACAAGAGTTATTTTGTATAAGTCGAATATATGTAAGGTATGCTTTAGTGGGTAATCGATCATGGCATAACAACCAAATGAAGGTTTTAATTTTAGGTAAGATTGGTAGTTTCCATATCCATTTAAAGTTAATAGGTTGTGTAGGTGAATTTGTAAATTTGTCAAGTAAGCTATGGTAGCTAGAGCTTGTTGTAAATGCACCTACTTGCGTTAAACCCCTGTAGGGAGTATCTGGAGTATTTTTACTATGCGAAATATAAATATTGTGTATTGATTGTATGATATCTTTCGGTAAATCAAAAGGCATTACCTTCCAATCCCAATTGGCATTATTAAGGAAAGATGAAACTTTAATATTATTTTGATTTATTGGAAGAGGCCCTTGTATTAGTGAACGAATTGTTGTACCAGGATTTAACCAGGGATCATTCCAAAAGCTAATATGCTGGTCTGTTCCAATTTTCCATTGTAAGCCAGTTTGACACAACTTCCATCATTTTAATATATTAGACCAAATTCTGGAGTATTTGAAGCCCTTTTTTCTATTCAAGTATTTGTTAAGAAGAATCTGGGCCCACATAGTGTTAGGCGATTTAAAGGCTCTCCAAGCCAAATTAGCCAGGAGTGCTGAATTTTTAACGTCAAGTTTTTGTATTCCTAAACCCTCTGTTTCTTTTGGCTTAGTAACAGTGTCCCATTTTAGAAGGTGAATTCTTTTCCTTGTAGCAGTTGTGCCCCAGAGAAAATTACGCTGGTATTGATTCATTTTGGATATAATTGCCGGAGGAATACTAATATATTGCATAATATGATTAGATAAGTTATTCAAGGTTGATTTAATTAACGTAGCTCTTCCTGCAAGTGTGAGAAAATTAGTTTTCCAACCAACAAGTCTATTTTTGAAATTATCAAGCAGGAATTAGAAATTTTCTTTTTTTGGTTCCTTGGAACATTGAAAATCCTAAATATTTCCCAAAGGAGCTACCTTCTTTAATACTAAAAGAGTCTGTAACAAACTGTTTATCTTCCTGCTTACAATTTTTAGAGAAATAAATCTTCGATTTATCAAAATTGATTTGTTGTCCTGAATGATGCATGAAATCATTTAACACATCCACAATGGCATGGCAGCCTTTAGCAGTAACTTTTGAGAACACAATAATATCATCTGCAAAGAACAAGTGTGAAAGTGGTGGTCCATTTGTGGAGATCTTAATAGGTTGTCATTGGAGATATTCTACATCTCTTAAAATCTTATGGGATAACTTTTCCATAGACATTATAAATAAGTAGGGAGATAAAGGATCCCCTTGCCTTATTCCTCTAGTTGGTGAAAAATATTGAGTCCTGGTTCCATTAATGATGATTGATATAGAACTTGTAGTAATACATGACATAATTAAAGAGATCATTGGTTCTGGAATATTAAAGTAGTGTAGAGTTTTTTTTATGAAAGACCATTCCAGTCGATCAAATGCTTTTTCCAAATTCAATTTTAGGATCATGGATGAAGATTTACCTTTCATTTTTGCAAGATAATTAAGGGCCTCTTGGACAATTATGGCATTATCAGAAGCCCTTTTACCTTGCTGAAAGTTAGTTTGTGTAGGTCCTATTATTTTATTGACAATAGGTTTAAGACGATTAACAATTATTTTGGTAATGAGCTTATACAAAGTATTACAAAGACTAATGGGACGAAATTGTTGTATAGTAGAAGGATGTTTTGTTTTAGGTATTAAACAAACTAAAGTTTTATTTAATTCATCAGGGATAATGTTAGTCAAGAAAATAACTTCACAAAAACTAATAACCTTTTTGCTAACTGCTGTCCAATATTTTTGGAAAAAGTAGGGGTGTAAACCATCCGGCCCTGGAGCCTTATAAGATTTAAAGCTAAACATGGCATCTTTTATTTCATCATGGCTAAATGGAGCAGTGATAATTTCAATATCATTATAAGAAGGGTTCCAAGTGCTAGGGCTCCAATACGAATTAGGACTGCTTAACTCTTTTGTATCAAACAAAGATTGATAATATTGAAGGATTAAATTATGCAACTGGGCTGGTTCATCAACCCAATTCCCAACCGTATCCTTTAAAGCAGTTATTTTATTTCTATGTCTTCTATGTAGAGTGGACATGTGGAAAAACTTAGTATTAGCATCTCCATCGTTTATCCAATTAATACGAGATTTTAGTTTCCAAAATTCTTCTTCCACACGAAGGAGATACTATATTCAGGATTGAGCTTTATTTCCAAATTTTGGAGGAAAAGACTGGTTGGATAATGAACTGATGCTTGTATGCCTCCCAGTCTTGCTAAGATTTTCCTTTTTTCTTGGAATATATTTCCAAACGTTTGTTTATTCCACCTATATGCTAAAACTTGGAATTTATGAATAGTAGGAAACAGTAGTTGATCTTCAGACCAGATGAACTAATTGTAGAAACTGTGGATGTGAGGCCCACATAGTTTCAAAACGGAAAATATTCTGATGTATTATTGTTGGTGGTTCTAAGGTAAGTAAAAGCGGACAATGATCAGAATGAGTACGAGGTAGATGACGGACTAAAGCCTCAGGATATAAATTCAACCATTCATAGTTAGCCAAGAATCTATCAAGTCTTTCTAATATTGTGGATCCATATCTACGTTTATTAGTCCAAGTATATCTACTACCCTGAAAACCCAAATCAATTAATTTGCAAGTGTTAATAAATTTACCAAAATTATCAGCTCTTTTGTTATTAATAGGAAGTCCCCAAATTTTTCATTAGAATTACCAGTTATTCAGCTGAGCTTTAATTTTTAAAAAATATACAGTAATAACATTTTCTTCTAGAGAACAGTGTACAATTGCATATATGTATTTTCGAATTTAAATTTCATTTGGTTTAAGTAGAATATCATCTCAGTTCGTGTTAAATGTTTCTTTATCTTTTGGGAGTAGAATATATAGTTGCAGAAACTAAAAATATTGTTCCTTGCTTTATGAAAATAATACTCCATAATACCATTAATTAAGCCTTTTTAATTATGTATTTACTAGTAGTTACGCTGCCATTGTTAAATTACTTGGGTGCATTTAGGAAATCCATGTAGAGGAATATGTGGGAGTATTTTAAGAATTTTAAATAGCCATGCGTTCTTTTAATTTTACAAGTGGTCATGAATATCTACCATGTGGCCTTTTACATGAAGATATATGGCCAAATGGCAAAGCCATAAACAAGTGGTAGAGGAGACATAACACTTGTCTGTTTGCATGGAATATTTTTGACAAGTAGATGAACACTTGTCATCTTCTTACACAATTCTACAACTATAAATACCCACTTCCTATACCATCCAAAAACACCAACAAATACTTTGCTCTCTCATGATTGCTAATGATTAGTAATCATCAATACAAGCCTTCTCTTTTTTCAATTACGTGTAGCCTTTTGTTTGTTCCAATTTCTTTTATAACCTGTGTTTATTTCCTCATTCCAAACTTGCTGGATTTATTATTACTAATATTTTGCTGATTCATGTATCCTCTAAATAACTAGAGATGGGCTTGTTTAATCCTGGGAAAACATTTCACATTGCTGAAATAGTTTCTTAGGACAGTGCCCAGCACGAGTCAAGTCAATTCACGTATTTTCGCTCACAAATATTATTGCAGTATTATTGTTGTTATTTTCCTGTGTAATTTTCCTACAATCTAAGAAACTATGGCAAGTAATACTACTGCGGAAATTTTTGATGGTGCTACCAATTTTGGTGTTGTCTCTGCTGCTACTGTTCCAGCTGTCCTGCCAGATATCCATGGTGTTGCAAATACATTATTGCATCCACAACTTTGGCAGACACTAATGTCAAAATACAGGTATGTAGATAGAAACTGTTACATATCTAATGCTAATATTAAAGCCTTCAAGAAAAATGCACCTCAATGCAAGCGAAGAGCTATGATGAATGACAATCTCACTAAGTCAAAATTAAATTTGACTAAAGAGGATAATATAATTGTTGCGGTCATTTTCCAAATAAATATGTGCCCAATGAGAGAGATTGGGTAATAGACTCTTGTGCTACTAGGCATATTTGTGCAAACAAAAATGAATTTTTATCTTACACCCAAGTTGAGGAAGAAGAAAAAACTATTTATCTTGGTGACTCAAGAACAACTCGTGTTCTTGGGAAATGAAAAATTCTTCTCAAACTCACATCTGGTAAAACTCTAGTATAGAGTAATGTATTGCATGTTCCTAATATCCAAACCAATTTGGTTTCTATGGGGTTATTAGGAAAAGTTGGAGTGAAGGTTTCATTTGAAAATAATGAGGTCGTATTGACCAAAAATAATATTTTTGTGGGCAATGGATATTGTAACCATGGTTTAGTTGTGCTTAATATTTTCGATACTAACAACAAAAATGCATCTTCTTCTGCTTATATGATTGAGTCAATTTCCTTGTGGCATGCTAGACTAGGACATGTTAATGTCGCGTATATAAAGAAAATACAGTCATTAGGATTAATATCTAGTTTAGACTCAAATAATATTAACAAGTGTGAAATATGTGCTGAAGCTAAAAGTACTAGAAAGACTTG